TTTTTTTTTACATCTGAAATTCATGATGTAATGCAACTTCTATGATGTAATGAAAGAGAAAGATGCTTCAGAGGTTTCAGAAATTAAATGAGAAAATTTCAACGTAAACGCACCATAGAGACGGTTCATTTATTGGCTCGATTCGATCGCCGTTGATTTTCAAAGATATCGGCTTTAACTTGTTATCCTCGTTGTAACTAACCATTTAATACTACAATACGGTTGAAAAAACGTGACTATAAATTGATCAAAAACGCGAGTTAGAAAAATTCGATGGGAGAATAAATGGATATTGGAAATAATTGATCGATATGTTTCTATCGATTGAAATATGTACACTCACATGTTCATAAATTGTTAGATATTTAATTCAAAATAGTAATATATTAATAATTTATTTATTTATTGATTCTTATGGCTTCTTACAAATTTATTTATATTATTATTACATATTATTATTGTAATATGATATTAAAAGGAAATACTGTAAACATATTAAGAGGAATATTATTTTAAATATTAATAAAATAAATAAAATAATTCGAATAATATCCGAGAGACAGATTAATTCAAATTTTATCGAAATAATGAATTATTATATTTTATATTAAATAATAAAAATTTATTTCAAGTTAGATTCAAGCATATTTATTTTTTTTTCAAATTTTATAATTTATAATTGGAGATGGAATCATTGGAGAAATATTAAATAAATGTTTGGAAATTTACAACTGTTTTTAATAAAAACATGAACGTATTAACACAGGTGATAACAGTTTAATGTTTAAAATAAACGTCTGATGACTTATGGACAAGAGTGTACGTACAGTTCCAAACAGCTTATTTCCATCCGTCCAAAAATTAAACTAAAATCTACGTAACATTCGAAACTCTGTCTCTCTCTTTCTCTCTCCTCTCTCTCTTTCCATTTCAAAACGCTTCAACGTTGCATGGCCAACGTTTTAATAATATGACTGTTATTTAAAAGATGCCCATCCATCGAGAGCAGAGTTTAATTACGCGTGATTACGAAACGGTAATTAGTAATTCCGTTTCGTGGACGCGCATCTGTTTGTCCGAAGGTTCGTCATCGCGTTTAGAATCGTCGATCGTGGAAATGATATTTAATGGACGAACAGTTTCATCCTGGAGCCTTGGTTATAAATTATATCAGACACGTTATGGCCTGTTCCTCTCTTAATATGACACGCGATGGCAATTTGTACCCCATTATGACCGCTTTCTATTACGCATAACTACGAATCGCATTTCCTCATGTTAACCAATTGCTGTACAAGGCTTCATCGTACTTGATCGAAATCCTGAAATGGAAAAACAGCCTATTCCGTTAATTAATCGGATGGAGGTAATTGCATCGAAAAATAGACGAACATCGATGCCTCCATAAAATCGGAGATAATGAAGATGAATTTGTACACTTTGAGTTAACAATTGAAATTTACGTGGTGTATATTACGTAACTAATAAGGAAAGTTTGAATAAATATCCTTACTTAACATAAAAAAAAAAATAAATTATAAATAATCGTTACTCTCTTTTCTAATATTCTTTATTTTTTTTTAGCTTTGAAGATGATCATTAAGTCAAACAAGAGGTATATAATGATCGAGGAAAAGGAAAGAGTGAAAATTGAGTAAGAAATTTTTTTTCATGAATCTTGTTTCGACAACTTTTTCAATTCTCTGCAATTAAAACAAGGTAAATAATTCATACTTCTAAATAAATTTCAAATTTTTCTAAATACCAAAATATTTAATATTCAATTATTATATGCAGCTGTTCAATGTTAAGTAAATTTGGTAAATGAAAAAAAAAAACAAGTTATATTTCTCTTATCAAAGAAACAATTTTTAGTTATTCGATATAACTAAAAATATATTTCATCGGGATGGGGAAATTCTTTTTAAACTTCAGCCGGAAAGCACGGAGAATTTCCTGCGGATATTCCGAGGAATCCGGGCAAGAACGGAAGTCGGATACGGAAGTCACCGCTTGAAATAAGCCTGCAGTTTGCTTTCGCCTTGGAGTAGTTGGACAACCACGTCTCGTGCCAACAACTTTACTACAATATCGTCTTCCTACGATTCCTCTTTGTTAGTCTGGTTTCCTGTTATTGCTCAATTCCTTGTCTGACACTATTCTTCATTTATTTCAAGGAAAAGTCGGATAGATCGTAACTAATGCTTTTAATTTTAATTAAAGAATAATAATTATTATTCATGCTTTTTAACTTATATATATTTTTTTTTAAGTAGATTTTAGAAACATCGTTTCAAAAAGATATTTTCTTCTTTAAATAATTAAAATACGTTTCAAGTGATTATTTTTAAAAAATTTGCCATTTAAAAAATTTTGCAATGAATAAAATATGCAATTCGTTAGCGTTGGCTCGAAAGAATGTAACATATACAGTTAAATTATTTCCTCTTTGCAATCATTGTTTTTGCTGTGTATAATTAATTATAATTACAGAGGAAGGGAACTTTTTCACAGTTTACTGATCAGCTTATATCAAAATTACGTATCTTTTTTTTTTTTTTTTTAATTTTTCGAATCTTTTCAAACAGAGAAAATTAGTAATTCAAAATAAAATATAAAAATTCGTATAGAAAGCAGAGATATTAAATTGCGGAAGCGGAAGTACTTAATTAAAACTTTGAATGGAAATGAGTTCAAAATATAAAAAGAGAATTCCAATATCAGGAAAAATCTTTTTTTTTTTGTGCGTGATTTACAACATTCCAGAGTATGCTTGTATAAGTGTAAAAAACAAATAAGAAAAAAAGAAAGAAAGAAAGAAAAAAAGAAAAAAAGAAAAAAAGAAAGAAAGAGAAAAAAAGAAATTCCATAGATCCAGTATAGAGAGAATCAGTGAAAGTTGCAGAGGAATTGCCGAGTTCGAGCTTGTCGCCATCCTCCGGATATGCAAGCAACTAGCTCGTTCAATCCAGATTGTAACTAACTGTTCGAAACTGCATTTCCTACGATTTATCAACGGGTTTGTGTCTTGGCTAAACCTGTAATCCCGATCCACACGGAAATATAAATATCGTGGGACCTGTTGCGCTTTGCGCACCATCGATGTTGGCACATCCAGGCCAAGTTGAAAGTGGTAGTAGCATCACAGAACAACTTGGCGAGATCCTGAAAATCTTACAGTGGCTTTCTGGATCATTGAATATGTTTAAAATTACGTATCACTTTTCTTTCGTGGAGTTTTTTAATAATTTGGATAGAAGTCCTCGAAGATTTTAATATTTTTATCAGTTTCAATCACAGTTTTAATCGAAATCTTAATTGTATAGATGATACTGTGTTCTTCAATTAAAATATCGCATGCAGCATTTTGGAAGACTTGGGAAAGTTTCATTATTTTCCTTTCTTTCCTGACTTCTTTTAGTTAGCATAGATAAATTGAATTTGACTCTAGATTCTTGCAAAGTACAGTAGAGTTATCTAATTTTATTTAAAATTTAAAAGAACACATGGAATTTGAATGTAAATTAAAGAATAACAAAATGTTGGATAGGATATTTTAAATAAGGAAGGTAGTATTGTTTGTTTCTTTTAATTCTTTAAATTATTATTTATACATACAGGTTTAAAAATTGTTAACTGAGATATAAGCAATATCTTGATTCACTATGATACGTGGATGCACTTATTCAAAATTTATTACAGGTGATAGAGAATCGTTAAGAAAGGATGGACGAAGAAAACTTCTTTCGTTTTACGATTAGTTTTCCTTATTCCCTGTTCGCCTACAGGATGGATAATAAAAGAGGCAATAACTAGTAGACTTTCATAACAGGCACTAACCTCACGACGCTCCTTTCCTCGTATGTTCCCTCCTGAAAACTTCTGAACCGTCTGTTTTTCTTGTGCTCGTAAAAAAGATACCAACCTACTATAATTTTTCCATTTATAAGCACGACGTGGATTTCATAACGATAATATAATAATTTTTTTCCCTTCTTTTTGAACTTACAAGCGTTCCTCGTTTCGAATTTCATCGACTTTATATGAAGGGAAAGAGCAGAAAGTTATAAATACGGATATAAAATCTTCATAATTCATCTTAATATTAATCCAAACGATAATTTGAAACTTTCATAAATTGACTATTTCTGTTTCATCGTAAATCTTGGAATTTTCATCTGGCTACAAATAAGGTTATTTTCAGATTCGAGACACATTGAATTTTCTATATTTAAACATTTAACGAGACGAATTATGAGGAACGAGGTGAGAAGTCAATTTGCATTGTAGAAAAACAAGGAAGGAAGTTGGTAGAGAGGTAGTAGATGATTTGTAACGGTGAACGGCGAATTGAAAGTTATAAGTCATAGCCTTTTCAACCCTGGAGCAACTCCCTCTCAGAAGATTGAATTTTACTTTAACGTTACTTGAAAAGTCGTTACTGTTTCCTGTACTTTAACGTATTTTCGAGTTGCAACAAAAGACAAAGGTAAAGAATTCGTTAATATCACTTCTACAGTTGAAAGATATAAATCATAACACAAATGCCACGAATAATGAAGTTTTTTCGCTAAAAAAAGTTTCCAAAGTGTTTATATACTTTTCATATTTCAATTTTTTTACGTTAAAATTTTTAAATTTATGTAATATTTATTAATTTTTTATTTATATTTTTGATCGAGATAAAACGTGAAAATAAGGTATGAAATTAAAAAAAAATTTATAATTTTTTCCAAATGATAGATAAAAAATATTGAAAGATATTATATTTTTTTTTTTAGAATTCCAAATATTTTAATAAGAATAAAAATTCGATAAAAGGAAAATATTTTATGTTTAATTATTATTTCTTAAAATATTAAACAGAGCACGTGGGAAGGCGCATGTGTAACATACGCAGGAGCACGTGGCTGGCTCGAGCCGCGATTCGGTCGATTTCGGATAGTTTCGTAAGTCGACGGTAGAAGGATCGGTGGCAGTCGCGCGCCGGCCGCTGCCTCGATAGGGTGTTTGTGTTTACGTCGCCGCGATGAAAATTTGGCCGCCATAGAGGTTATGTTTACGCGTGCCGCGGTAACCAAATCGACGACGCATGCCCTTCTGCGTCCATCTTTTCGAAAATCCTTCACCGATCGCCACGTGCCTGTCGAGAAATCCATTGACTTCCTACGACATCGCGTCCCTTGGTGCACGGAGCATCTTGACAACTCTTGATATATCCAGACTTTCGTGAGTACAATATTCCATCAATCCTATTCTATTTTTTGTATCTCTGTATTATCTATATTATTCATATATTCATATAACGATTTGATAAACGAATCATTATGATTTAGAATATCGTAACGTTGAACGTTGATTTGGACGTGACATTTATGAGCAGAATTTAAACATGGCGATCGTATTTGCCAATCAAACGTATTAGTTTGACCACTCGAACTATTTACGCGGTATTTCTCTTCGAGTATCACGATCGAAATATTCTCAAGTAGCCACCAGAGTGCTCTAATTGTACCGTATCGTGTAAAATAATATGAAATCAATTATATCTTTTGTATTTTTCGCGTATAATTTCATTTTAACGTAAATCGTGATACGTAATTGAAATACGCATCATAAATACGTAGAAATTTTTTCTGAAATAATCGGATAATAAACACAACACAAAATTCATAACACACGTGTCGCCGTATTCCTAGAAAACGAAACATATGCTACACTGAGTCATATGACATGACTCATCCCGATACTTTTTCACGTTGTATTCGTATTCGCGTATTCGTTTAATATTTTTTCCACGTGACTTGTCGCGTTCGAAGAAATGTGATTTATTTCGATATATTAGAGTCGTTCGATTATGCGAATCAGTCGTGCGTAGTGATTATAAATAAAATATAATGCCGGAATAATAGTGTGAGTTTTAATATTGTTCAACCGCTTATAATCTCGCCGCAAACAAAGAGCTCGGGACGAGATGAATTATAATATCGAACATATTTTGAAACTTGGTCCAATAATAATTTACAATTGACCATTCGAATCGAGTTTTCCTGCGCGACAGATGCATTCACGCGTAATTCACGAATAAATTATATCATGCGTGTACAAATGATGCTAGTTAAACGACTGGTGATCATTGTTATTGGGTGAAATTTGCTTGAAAAAGTTAATGGCGGAAATTTATCATCTTGTTATATACGGGCTTTTTATCGTTTTTATTAGAAAACTCGGTGGTAATTAATCGATTAGGTAATTAGCTACGCGTTTTATTAAACTTTTTGTTCGTGAAAGAATCGATCTCTTTATTCATCAAGGTCTACGATCATTTTTTTTGTTTCACATAAAGTAGATATTAATCTCTTAAGTTGCTGCATAATGAATTTTGTTCCCAGATAAATAGCATTATAAATATTTTTATTTTAAAATTTGTTTTAAAATAAAAATTCTTAATCAAAATAGAAATACTTTATATATTCGTATAACTTTTTAAACTTTCTTAATTGTTTCTAAATAAATTGCGTTCTTATTGTTGGTGATCAATTTTAGAGATTAGATGGATAAAAAGAACGGAACAAAATTGATTAACAAATATATTATTCTATTAATAAATTTAATTGACTACAATTGAACGTTATAACTAACTAAATTTTAAAAAATAATCGTTGTATCGCGAAATTATTTATAAACTAAATAGTATATATTTCGTATATTTCGTAAAAAAAGAAAAAGCAGTATTTTTATTAGTTAACAATCCATCAATTGTCAGTCAAATTAAATTCGATTCACGATTTATTCCCGTTCCAAGTGATCGTCGCGATTGAATTTTGATCTCGCGAGAAGGTAGACGAAAAACATGAGAGGTATTCTTTATTAAATTTTCTCAGAGGTTCGTGATCCATAGAAACGGATGCGCGGATTTATTAGACTATATTATCATTCTGAATCGCGAAATCGAGTTAATGAGAAATATCAGTTTAATAATTTTTCATAAGTTTAAAATTAAAAAAAAAAAAAAAAAAGAGGAAAAAGAAGCGAACAAGCGATAAATATAAATTTGTCGACGTCGAGCACAGGTCGAATTTGGTGTTTCGTCACGCGATATATTTAAATTTTTCATCCGTTTATTTTATACGGTCTGCTACATAATTTCCCGAATCTCTCGATGGACACGTGACTGGATAACCCTGGTTGGTGGGAAAAAAAAAAAAAAAGAAAAAAAAAAAAAAAGAAAAAAAAGAAAAAGGGACAATGTTCGCAATCGATGAAGCTATTGTAAGAGCTGACGTAACCATCCACTGTCGAGTCTTTTGCGGAATTGCCCGCATAAGCGAAAATCAGTCCTCGTCGATCGTGATGCGAAATGTTGCAAAATTTCCCTTTGACGGTGCACGCTTTCATTCATGGCTGGTTCGAATATTAGAATCGTGCTCTGGAATAAGAATCTCTTTGTTCAATGTTCGATCGATAATTTTTTTTTTTAATTTAAAATAATGGACCCTGTTCCTTTTTGACACGATTTATCATAGTATATTCGCTTCCTTTTTTTTTTTATTTTTTTTATATTTCTTTTTCAAAGAAATGTGCTTGTCTCTATGAGATATAGGTTAAATAGATAAAGAAATGTCGATCCAACATTTCCCTTCTTATCTTCTTATCCCAGGCTTTCTAAGATGATCTCGCCAAGATGCTTCGAACAATCATAAATCACAAAAGAAAGGGTAGCTGATAAAGGTGTTGAACACCAAAGAGAATATATAGGGAGAGAGGGGAGAGGAAGTGAGAGCAGTTGAAAAAGAAGAAGAGATATTCAAAGGGCGGCCATTCCTCCTTTCTTTCCCAAACTTTTCTTATCTCTCGTATCAATTGTTTTTTTTTTTTTTTCTTTCTTCTTTCTTCCCGCTTTCGATTAGAAAGTTTCTATTATTGTTACGAATTACGATGGATGAAGTAACGAAGTGAATTGGAAAATTTTAATCAAAGGAGGAAAAACGTTATTTATCTTCGATGTGCGACATCATTCTTTGTCCGAATAACCCTATTACGGCTTTTTCAATTACCTCATCTATTTTCGAGACAATCACATGGAATTGCAAAATCGCGCCAGAAAATTTATTCCACGTGTCTCTCCCGCTCTCTCTCTCTCTCTCTCTCCTTTGTTCATTTAATCCCTCGTTTTCTATTAAATTATTCCATCAAATATTCGATAAATCAAAATTTGGTAAACAATCCTGGCTTCGAGCAATCGATGGCTCACATTCCCAATTAATCCCGAGCATTGGTAATAATCAAAGAAGATAGAAAAATCTCTACGTAATAAATACTCTCCTCTTCGTGATTTCGAATTACTTTTTTAAATAATACATGTTCCAAAAGCCAAGAGAGAGAGAGATTCCTCATATTTTTTTCATGTATTTTCTCGTCGAGAAACTAATATTTATTTTAACGTGTAAACAATGTTATTCGCCGAAGAGGAATCGCGGGAGTAGACGTGGAAGCTGGCCGTGTAAAAACTTAGTTTTAACATGAAAATACAGAGATCGAGAGGAAAGGGAGTCGCCGTTGAGTCTACAAACTGAAATATGTACGTATCCTCGAATATACACGAAAGTAGTTGCATTGTTTTTTCGGGGTCGACAGAAAGAAGAGCATGCAACTCTCTCGGAATTTCTTTCTTGACCCGAGAAACAAAATCGTTACATTGAATTAAAATCGAATAAAACGTCCACTTGCCTTCGAAACTATCGGTAAACGCGGCCAGACAATGACGTTGTTTTCATGATTTTATTTCTCTACAGACTTGAATAACGTGTAACGAGGTACTTTCGCCTCGATCGAACCACGATCTCGAATTTTAGAATACATGCATAAGGATTGGCGAGTAAAAAAGATAGAGAAATAAAATCGTTTTGAAATTGTTTTCGATAAATCTTTTATATATTTTATCGAGTATTTTACAATCGGAGAATGTTGAGAAAAAAATTGTTACAATTTAAATAGACAACGAATAGGAATGAACTAAACGTAATTAAAGATAAGAAGGATTTTGTTGATCGATCGTCAAAAACTTGTGACTAATTTTAAAACTAGATCGCGCGATATCAGGATAGCTCGAGATGAAATAAATTGAACGAAATCCCTAAGACAAATTCCTTGACCTAGTATATAAGAGTCGCAACGACTGGATAGTTACAAGGAAAATAGTGAGCTATCGTCCATTTCTTTTAAACGATGCGTTATCCTTGTAAAAATCTTTGTAAAGATAAACTTATATATTAGGTCAATTTGTCCCAACAGCTTTCGTAAATTTTATTAAAATATAACGACGCTTATATTCTAGTTCTTAGGATTAAATACACGGTGCTCTAATATATGTTAATCTTCCTACAAAATTCTTTATATTTTTACAATCGTAAAATATATTATCATTATACATGGATCGTTTCCATAATTTTACAATCGAAACGTAGAAATGTTTATAAGAAACGTCTATCCAAATATATATATATATTGTAACATAGCTCTGACATTTCAAAATATCGGTTTTAAACAAAAAGTAGAAAAATTAATTAAAAATTAATTAATCGTGGGAAAAAACGCGAAACGATACTCGAACCTCGAACCTCAATTTTTCCTTTTTTTTTTTTAACTGTTTCGATAAATCTTTTTATCGAGTATTTTACAATCGGAGAATGTTGAGAAAAAAATTGTTACAATTTAAATAGAGCGGGTTTATATGCAGTATGACGCCTCGTTAAAAATGATTTAACGAAAATGCGAAAATGCGTGGATAAATTTCATTTTCAAAGAGTTCGAAGCAAGCAAGGGTTTGTTATAAACGCGAACGGGAACGCAATGTTTGCGACGATAAATTCAGACCTCGAGAGTGCTCCGGGGATCGCGTGGAAAATGTAAATTCCGTAACAAAACTCGCAGAATCGCCGCTCGGCTTCTGGGGCCAATGAGAAACATTGGGGCGGGTTTCGAAGCACGCGATACGGGTCACCGACGTGCACTCGCGCAAAGTGAAAATATTCCGGAATTTCTTGCAGCCACCAGCTTCCCTCTCCCCCTTTCACGCTTCATTTAAAGAAACCTGGCACGCTTTCAGCTTCCGTTCCGCGAATGCGAACTTCGCGAGGCGAAGTTTTTAATTGGTTAAGAAACATCTGTAAGGGAGGATTTAATTTTAATCCGTGAAATAAGGTTTTTAGAAGAATCGAAATTACTTGGAATTTTTCGATCGATCGAGACACTTGACAAAATGAAATGGAACGAGCTAATGAAATTATCTGAAAATTATTTAATTGCAAGGTTTAATATGAGAAAATTTTTTTCAGAAATTATCTCGAAGTGTCTTATAATTTTTTGAAACATGGAGGCGTTCAAGATGTAAAGATGAAAAATTAATTTCGAAGTTTCATTCGGGGAGGGAGGGATTAAGAAATTAGTGAAAATGATTCTTTGACAACGATTTTCTTTGTGGATATAATATTTATCAATCTATCACAAACGCGAAATAAACGCTTGGATAATTCGATAATCAGTAATTCAATTCTGCCACTCTAGCACGTCTGCTCATATTAATTCATGGTAATTATCTGGCCGACTTGTAATAAAGCAGAAAGCTGCAATGGCATCGTCGATACTTGTGCCATAAATTTTAAAGCGATTATTTATGATTGCCAGATTGCCAATTACGTTATTTGTTTCATAAACACGCGAACAACGAAGAATTTGAAGTATAAAAGCTGGTAAAGATTTCGCGAGTTTCGTACTAACAGCGTTATAAAATCCATGGAAAATTCTAAATTACAGAAGAAAAAAGAAAAAAAAAAAGAAATGTTAATACGCTCGTAATCTTCTTGAATATTAAACCACTCTTAAATCATCTTAGCTTAAATATGGAGAAAAAAAAAACGTTGTTCGTTTGAAACAAATTATGGAAAAAATCGGAGGGAAGAAATAGTTATATAAGAGGGAAGGAGAAAATTATGAAAATCCGTGGCAAATTCTCTTTCTTTCCTTTATTTTAAAATTATATAGAATATTTTTAAAGTATCCTCTATCAAATATGCAAAGTTATTTGAAATTTGATTTATTTAAAAGAGGATATTTTCGTTGGCATTTAATATCAGTCGGCTTTTTAAATTTTTTAACAATTTTCTATGATTAAAAAATCTTAATTATAGAATATTATTTTATACTTATATTAAAAAAATAAATAAAATACAAGTATAAAATTAGGAACGAAATTATTAACGGACAATGACATAAGAATCATTGCATTATTCATTTTTTCCTCATCGTATATATATTTTAAAGACTTGAAATGGATCCATTCATTTTAAAAGAAATAAATTCTTACGTAAATTCTCCGTTATAATTTACGATTCGAATGTGGGCGAGAAAAAAAGAAAAAAAAATTAAATTAAATATCCACGCGAAAAATTCCTTAAAATTAAATCACTACCAAAGAAGGATCACCAAATTTATTAAATATTTAAATACCTAATACAATTTTTTCGATTAAAATTTCACACATCGATTATTAGGAAATATTAATTTAATAAAGTCTACTGCGACGGAATATTTAAAAGCTTGCTCTTTGCTTTAAAACAAACAAAAGAGAATTATCCACGGAATGTTTGCTGAAACCAAATTCCAATGTACTCTAGTTATTATCGCGCCAAGTTTATGCATTAACGTCATCCCTCCTCGTTGCCTCCTCTTACGCGTACATACCACTTTCCCCTGCGATCTTTGTTGCGTTGCAGCGGCGAATTATAGAAGCTGCAAGCTCATCCAACCTTTGTTAATCTTGCTTTCAGGTAAATGCGCAGGAGCGTGGTGTGTGCCGGCCCTCGGACGTGATTTGGTGCGGTGGTGGTGTGCGTGTAAAGGGCCAACCAGTGAGGCCGCAACGGTGAGCATTCGAGATGAGCTATGAATTTAGGCTGCCTGGTAGCCATCGTCTTTGTGCATCAGCTGCTGTCCGACGCCACAGCGCTACCCTCAGTCGTCAAGATTGGTGAGTCGATTCTATCTATTTATTTTCGACTGGTTTTCGTTGGTTTCTTTTGCAGGGAGCTCAGGCTTTAAAAAAAAAACATCGAGTCCTTCTCTGAATCGAGTTTATTTATTACTTTTTATCGAGAAATTATTTGTAGTAGAAAATTATGTACTCGAAGCCACGAAGGGTTTTGAGATTTCGTAGTTTTTTAGATTTATTTTAGATTTTTTAGATTTTAGATTTTTTCCTTTCTTTCGAATTGTCAAAATTATTGGGAATTAAAAGAAATTCTTTAAAATTATAAAATATCTAAAAAATTATATACTCAAACGGCGGAGGGTTTTGAGATTTCAGTAGTTTTTTTTTTAGATTTGTGAACACCGGGGATTAATTTAGTTAGCAAAAATTATCGCGCAGATTCCGCGATCACTTTCTTTCGAATTGTCAAAATTATTGGGAATTAAAAGAAATTCTTTCTTCCTTTCTTTTTCAAATTGCTAAAATTGTGGAAAGAAAATAAAAGCTCTCAATTTTTGCAACTTCCTGTACAATGTGCTAACATCCTCTGAGGAAACATGAACGGATAAAAGGATTGTCATACGCGCACACAGTAACAAACATGTCAACGAAGGTAAAGTAACCAAGCACATTGTAATCCCCAAGAAGAAACTTGTGTATAGAGGAACAAAGTAGAGTAGAAAAGTCTTACATTTTAAAAGGGGAATTAGCGAAAGATCGTGAAAGGTCTCGTTTTCCTCGAGTAACACTCCTCTCTCCCTCGATCTTGTTTTCCCCCTTCTTCTGTGGTTTCACAACAATTCACTCACAATTCGTTTCCCCCTCGCGAACGCTTTTACGCTTTGCTTAAAATATTCGCAATTTTGCCCTGACTTTGTTCATCAAAAACGATCGTGCTCGACGTGGAAAAGGATCATGGAATCTGCGAAATGTGAAATAAAACTCGCCTCGTCGTTAGTATTCGTAAAGTTGGGGCTGTAACTCGATAAATTGAACTTCTTAATGCAATCCTGTGAAGTTCTGACCAGCTACTTCGTCCGGTTGAGTAATTGTCGAGTAATAAAAGTACGTGACCACGTTGATCACGAGTAATTTCGAATATTTCGTAGTTGGAATAATGGGAGTTGAAGGTTCGATAAAAATGTGTTTGTACTCCGTTAAAAGCTTTCTGATAGGAAATGTCAACATTCCGTTAGGTGCTATTTGGATTGGAGATATCTTGGCGAAAGTGGATGAAAGTAGCCTTGTAAATTTGTTGTTGAGATAGATTTGTGATTAAACATCTTGGATAATATTTGTTCTTCTTAATAATTTCAAGGAATAAGATAGTGATAGTAAATAAAGATAAAAGAAACTTTTTTTATTTTTTATATAAAAGAAAGGATATTTCATTGCAAGAACTTTTCACGTTTTAGTAATATAAATATCGTTGTTTGGCATTGATTGAAAAATTTACATTTTAAATCAATGCAATTATCAATGCCAAGCAGTATGTGCATTTTACAATTATATTTGGTATAAAATTAGAATTAAAATTAACATATAAATAAACTCTAACTGTCTTAATAAATAATAAACTATCTTATTCTTTTTTATTTCGTGCAATTATAAATTTCAAAATTGCATGCTTTTTTTTTGCGTAGCTTCTTCGTATTTTCTCCAATATTAAGGCAATATTTAAGTCATAAACGTATACAGGAAAGTCGTGTATCGTTATTTATCTCATATAATTATTAATTATTAATCGTTAACTATCGAACATCTGCTATACCTTGTTCCATTTGGCGTTGAAATTTGATTTCCGCTGTTGGATGTCCCAAAGGCGGAAGTTGGGATCGCGTAGGAGAGTTCTTTAGGCAGAAGGCGAAGCTAGACAAAGTGCAGACGCGCTTAAGTATTCTCGCAAAGAAAGGGGTTGTTCGCGTGTTAAGTCAATCAATTAGACAGGATCGATAATTTTCATTGAGCGCATCGATGGAAGTTCGTGGTTTGGCGAAGCTCACGAGTTTAGCGAACCTCGAAAACTTGTTTCCTTAATTCGATAAGCTTCGAGAAATTGTCTCGAATTTTTTTTAACTGTTTCATCTTCGAAAGAATCGTTAAATTCGATGGAGAGTATAGTTTGATTCATTGATCATGTTCGAGCAATACATAGTTCGCTAATAATCTTTGTTGTAGACAGTGATGTAGATACTTTTTGTGTGCAAATGATACTCGTGGTATTTAATAATACGTACAAATTTGCACAAAAATCGTCACATTTTCCAAAATTTTCGATTTATTTCCAGCGACGAATATCGTGTCTGTTATCTTGCCAAATTGGTCCCGCAATTTACGTGATCGAGTGAATCGTTCGGAATAAGGGCTTTGAAGGGCTCGACATTTGCCGCAACAAGATCGAGGTCTTTAGGAGAAGACCAGTTAATGGTTCCACTATAAATCATTTAATAACGAACATTAGTCCATGGTTACTGTGCCAGGAATGTGGCACAGTCTCTTTCCGTTTTTCATCCGATTCTCATTTATTATAAAAAATTATTATTCGATATTCGAGAGGAATTCAAACATATTATTCCCTATGTTTGAAATTTGGAATTAATTCTTCTGAGAAGTTTTTTTTTTTTGAATATAAAAATTTGTTTCATAATGAGGAGAGAGATATTTCATTTCATTAAATTCGTAAGTGAATATTTTATGAAATTTTTAGCAAAATTAATTTTAAAAAATTCTATTTCCATTTGTTATTTTATTCGTTTCATATTTTAAATACTAAAATTAGGGGATATTTCGTTATAATTTCGTATGGTATATTATATAATATATTTTTATAATTTGTTTACTTAGTTTGGAACGTTGTACGAATATAATGGATTTCATCTGAATATATTTTATATCTCTGAGTAAAGATTTGGCAACGAATCAGCAGTTTCAATTAAAGAATAAAGGTCGCGATCACGAAGGAAAAATCGAGAGAAAAAAGAGAGAAAATGGCTAGAGAAATGATTTACTTTTGACAATTTTCTGTCTTTTTTTTCTTGCAAGATAAATCCCTCGGTATTATCTTTTCAAATCGAAAAAAAAAAACTACTAAGCTATTTACAATAAAAAAATTAATTAAATATCTTTTAAAAGTTCCATATATAAAAGGAAGAAATACGAATAAAAATTACTTCTTCGTGTATCTTCCATATGATAATTCCTATTCAATTGGCTTATTAGTTTTTTCACAAGAAATGATCGCATTTTTAGGAAACAATTTTCATATATCTAATTACAAAAGAAACAACAATATACACGTTACTAATAAAAACGTGTAACATGTCACGCGTTTAGCCAAATTTTTACCATACTTAGATATATTTTTTCCGTTAGATAACTTTCAACTACCTGAAAACGACATTACAGGGCTCGGTGAAGTTTTATCTGTAAGGGCGTAGCTCGTGATACAGATACGCGTGAGACGTTTCCCCTTTTCTCAGTCCCCGCCTCCAACTGTCTCTCCAACTTATGGGAAACTCACAAATGAATAGTGAACAAGCATTCGTTTCCCTTTGTTCCTTATCCTCTCGAAAGATTTCACCTCTGGAAAGGAAAAATTCGCGAAAGGAGGAATTGCTCCGAAAGAATAAAGTGTACGCGACCGGTTAAACTTCTCTCTGCTTTCTGTTTCTCAATCTGTTATCACGAGAAGGATGCAGTTATCCTTGCTGTAACGAAGGCTGAGTATTCCACGAGATTTGTCTTTTTATCTTTGTCTCGGAAGAAAATAAAGAATAGCAAAGTAGTGTAGTGGGCGAGTGTAGTTAATTATTCTTTGCATGATAATCTTGTAATATGAACAAAATTTCATATTACAATTACGCGTTAAATTATATATTTTTGAAGCTCGTTGCGTTTCCGTTCTCATTTGTAACATAGAAATCTCATTTCTCATTAAACGATTTATAATGTTTGCCATTTCTCTCTCTCTGGAAAGGGGGGATGAAAATACGAAGGATACGGTTTTTATTTTTAAAAGGGGGTGAAAAATGATAGTGACGTCACGTCAGAAATTCACTTTAAATATTCAGTATATTTCGTAATAATTTTAAAAATGTAAAAAGTGTATCCTTTTTTTTTTCGCCTTTTCACTTGCGAAATTTCATTTTATAGGAGATCGTTTCGAAAGATTGTGTTTGTCACTCGTCGAAAGAACCACCCTGAAAATCCACCCTCTCCCCTTCAAGATCCTTTCCATTCGCGTTGCGAGTGACGAGCGAGGAGGGGTGAATAAATGGACAAAGTTTGGCAACAAAAGAGAAACGTGGTTAACTCTTACTAGCTCAGACACTTGTTCCCCGAATTTCCCGTTTCCTTCGACTTTTATTATTCCATGGTGTACTTATTGCCGACGAATTTTATCACTTTTGGTGTGGATTATCGAGAAGAGATCGAACATTTCGTCGTACAAGACTTGAAGATCGTATTGGGATATAGAGAATACAGTTATATCTTAGATTGACCATTTTATCTGAAAGAAGAATATCATCAAAATAAAAGAAAAATAACTTTTTTTATTCTTTATATTATTCAATTGTTGTAATTGTTGAGATTTTACAAATTAAAATAAATACGATTGTATTTGAGAAATAAAAAAAAAAAGCAACGAATAAATTTGAATATCTCAATTACGAGATCCAACGAATTTATCCCGCAAAATTTCGCACAATTCATTATTACCAGAGCTTCCAACTTTTTACTTCTAAAAATCTACGGAACCGCGCGGAATATTACTGTCAAAAATATGTAGAACGTACACCAATGTATCTTCAACCCTCTCAACAAGAAACATTACACGAAAAAACGATCGTACGAAGCTCAAGAGTTCAATATATATTCGCAAAGTGAAACAATCCCAGCGTTTCACAGACTTCCTTTTTTGCACGGTTCTCCGCGATATTAGAGGACGAGAAAGAAAAAGACAAAGAGAAAGAAAGAGAGAGAGAGGGAGAGAGAGGGAA